TTTCTTTCTGATTTTCAGTCCTCTTTGTTTCCTGGTGAGTCTGGCTAGAAGTTCATTAATCTTGTTTATTCTTTCAAAGAACCACCTCTTGGTTTTATTGATCTTTTGTATTGTTTGTTTGTTTGTTTTTGGTGGTTTGTTTGTTTATTTGTTTTTGGACTCTGTGTGAAATATTTTCTACTTTCTACTTACTCTCGACTTTTCTTGATGTTCTCTTTCTAATTCTTTAAGTTGTAGTGTTAGATAACTTATGAGCTTTTCTTGTTTTTTGAGATAGGCCTATAGTGCTATGAATTTTCCACTTGGGACTGCTTTCACTGTGCCCCATAGATTTTGGATTTTTGTGTGTTCATTTTCATTTGTTTCCAGGATGTTTTTTATTTTTTCTTTGGTAACCCACTCATTGTTTAATAACATGCTATGTAGCCTGCATATGTTTTATTGTTTTTGGGTGCTTTTATTAGAAATTAGACTTCTAATTTCATGTCATTGTGGTCTGAGAAGATACTTGATATGATTTCAATCTTCTTGAATTTGTAGAGACTTAGCATGTGTCCTAACATGTGTTCTGTATTTGAAAATGCCCCTTGTGCACTTGGGAAGAATGTATATGCTGTAGCTTTGGGGTGGAATGTTCTGAAGATGTCAATTAGTTTCATCTGATCAAGTGTGTAACTTAGGATTGCTGATTCATTGTTGATTTTTTTGCCTAGAAGATTTATCAAGTTTTGTCAGTTGGATATTAAAGTTCCCTATTATGATTGTATTGCTGTGATATCTCCCTTGGAATTCTCCAGAAGTACTTTTTATATATTTGAATGCTCATGTTTGGGTATATATATCTTTACCAGAGTTATATCCTGTTGTTGTATTGATCCTTTTAGTATTTTGAGGTGGCTTTCCTTATCTCCTGTTATGGCCTTCACTTTGAGGTCTCTTTTGTCAGATATAAGTATAGCTACCACTGAGTTTTTAAAATTTCCATTTGCCTGAAAAATACTTTTCCATCCCTTCACTTTCAGATTTCATGAGTCCTTTGTTCTGAGGTGGATCTCTTGTAAACAGCGTATATATGGGTCATGTTTTCTTATCCATTCAGCTACCCTTTGCCTTCTGATTGGAACATTTAATCCATTTATGTTTAAGGTTATTATTGATAGGTACTCATTTGTTGCCATTTTTATTCTTTATGCCTGTGTTCCTCCCTCCCTTTAGATTTCTTCTTTTTACAACAGTCCCTTTAGCATTTCTTCCATTGCTGGTTTGGTGGAAATAAACTCCTTCAGCCTTTATTTTCTGAAAGTTCCTGACTTCACCTTCAATTTTGAATGATAGCCTTGCTGGATAGAGTATTCTTGGATTCAGTACCTTGATTTTCATCACTTTGTATATACTTCATGCCATTACCTTCTGGCCTGATGTGTTTCTTTTGAGAAATCCATTGATAGTCTAATGGGAGATCCCTTGTAGGTAACTTTCTTTCTCTCTCTTGCAGTCTTTAAGATTCTTTTTCTGTCTTTTATATTTGCCCATTTAATTATGGTGTATCTTGGTGTGGGTCCTTTTGGGTCCATCTTGATAGGGACTCTCTGTGCTTCATGGACTTGTGTGACTTTTTTCTTCCCCAAGTAAGAGATCATTTCTGTCATTATTTCTTTGAACAGGTTTTATATTCTATGCTCAGCTTTCTCTCCTCTGGAACCCCTATTATGCAGATATTGTTTTGTTTCATGTTGTCCCTAAGCTGGCCTAAAGTTTTCTGCTTTTCAGTGTTTGTTTTTTTCCAGTTGTTGCTCTGTTTGGGTATTTTTTTCTACCTTGTGTTCTACCTCACTGATTCCATCCACAGCTTCTTCTAGTTTACTGTTGAAACCATCCAGGGTGTTCTTTATTGCAGCTATGTCATTCTTCATTTCCTCTTGATTCTTATTCAAGTTTATGTACT